ATAGAATAGTAAATGCACAAGCCACAACAATACTGAAGTGCCTCAGCGGACAGTATAGGCTATACTGTATATGAATTTATATGAAAAGTCCTACAAATAATATCATGTTTAATAATCTGTTATGATGGATGAAAACTGTTGTGTGTTTAAGAGAGTTTGAAGAATATTTGCAGAAATAAATAAAAAAAAACAGTTTGAAGTTTTTGACTAGTTTATAAATAGGCAAAGCTTATGTTTCAGGAGAGAAGCTGTTGCTTCTGCGCACACTCCTTAATGATGATGATGGTGATGATGGTGWTGTCTGAGAGTGTTTTCTACAACAGACCAACATGAAGACATAATCTCTACTAGGAGTGTGCTTGTTTGAGTCGCAAACATGATGATTCACAGTTAATCCCCGGGAATGCTGCTTCTAAGGTTGGATTATTTATTTATTTTTTTTTGACATTTGTCCAGCAGCGCGGCGGCTTTAAGGAGGGAGGCGTGGTGCTGCTGTTTTGACCGACTTGTCCGTGCTGTCACTCCCTACTCTCATTCAACTGAATGAACAGGCTCGTGCACTCAACAGGGGATCGGCTCTGTGCTCCGACGCATTTTTCTTTTTTCTTTTCTTTTCTTTTTGTTTTTTTCTTATTTATTATATTTTTTTACGGAGGGGTCCTTTTTTTTGCCTACTGACAACCACACGGGATTATTACCTCCGAACAGCTGCTGTTTCCTCGTGAAGAATCTGGAAGGTAGGTGTGTGATTCTGGGTTCGGACGGACGCGCAGGGAGCCATCGGCTGGAAAACATCCAACGCGTAAAAACGCAAATGTGCAGATGCGGCTTCCTTTCTGCTTTCCTGTAAACCCAGATTTGACGCGCAGATGCATTAGATTTGAGCGCTTGTCAGATTTAAGGTGGACACAGTAATTGCTGCTGGAGATTCCCGTTTTAAGCCCACACCATTTAAAGCGTCCCTGAACACCTCCTGCATGGAAAATAATAAACTAMCATTAAAATATTGCTCAATAACCCGCCGCGTCCCATCAGTTAAGCAATATCACGTTACAGGCCGCCATTGAATATAGGTTAATTTATAAGCACTTATTTTGCGTGTCATAACCCCTCCTTTTTAACAACAGCCTMATTTTTTACTGATTCTAGTGATCAGGTGTGATATAATGACAGACTKCAGTGAGAATTGGCACGCTGCTTAAAACATTTGACCTCGATATTTATCCCAGAGTCGTGCGTTCAACTGGGCAACACGGACGCGATGTTATCCCAGACGTGGTCCATAGAGGGCGCTGCGGCACCTCAGCTGCTGCGTCATCCCAATCCTGCTTCACCTGCACAGCAAATAAATAAATAAATAAACAGACGTGGTCCATAGAGGGCGCTGCGGCACCTCAGCTGCTGCGTCATCCCAATCCTGCTTCACCTGCAC